CGAGCCATTATTCATACATGGTAGGTTTGAGTTCCTCCTGCTCATCTCAGTGTCCACGTGCAGAAGATGTTGCTCTCAATCTTAGGCATCTGGCACTCATGAAATCTTGCTTATAACAACTGCTTATAACAACCAGACAACTGGTGGTCCCCAGGCCTCTTCCTCCACCCAAGGAGAGTGCTGGGCCTCTGCCTCCCAAGCCCCAAAGCTGATTAATGTTGATATTCACGTGCTCGACCTCTCCAGATGCCAGGACAGGCCACTAACCTCAGGACCAAAATTCATTAGCCATTCAGAGTCAAGCATATTTGAACGACATTTATAAAAAAGAGGAATATAAAGTATTATAACATGAATCAAGGATTTCTGCCCAAGAACTGTTTGTTAGTCTATACCTTTGAAATTACTTTGCCTATTAAGTTTTTTTCAATTTCTTAATGAAAATTTATTCTATAAAGCCCAAATAGAATTTGGTTTTAGTGACTGCTGGTTCTGAAATGATTCTTATTGGATCTTCATAAGATGGCTCCATTAATTTTGCTTAGAATTGAGACTTAACCAGCCTTTGCTAAATCCTTTACACTTTTCAAATACCTGCAAAGTTACAGTTGTGCTAGCACAGTGAACATAGATTTACTGAGCACCTATTATGTACGTAGCAGGCCCTATTCTGAACACTAAAGATAAAACCTTGAAAAAGAATCTATTCCTCTGCTTATATTCTAGAATAGTGTTTCCCCCACACTTCTGGATTTTACACACTAATACAACAGCCAGAAAAGTTGGGAGGTTAATATATTTATTTTGCTAATCTAAGGACACTGAAAATATTATCTCCTCTCATCATCATATATTTTGAAGACCAAAAGGCTAAAAGATATAATCTAAGAACAATGGACAGTTCTTTACATTGAATACATTGAGCTCTATAAAATCTTACTCAGGTCCACTCGGCACAGAGTGGACCTGCCCTTGTTCAAGGGAGTAACTACTGAGAAGCCCTTCCGGATGGGGCCCCATCTAAGAATCCTCTTTTTACCCTGTTGCTTGCACAGTGAACAGAGTAAGGAGCCTTTTTCTGAGTAGTCTAAAATCTAAACTTGTTTTCATTGTACCTCATTTTAAAGTTTCAAGAGTTTATGGACAGGCTAGCCTGGGCCCAAGGTTGATATTTAATAAATGCTTTGACAGCCAGGTCAGGAACTGGAGGTCAGAGGGTTCATGGTAATGAAAGGGGTTTTCAGCAGATGACCACAGTATCCTTGTAGAGCAGAGCGAGCTTAGTGCATGATCAATAAAAAGGTTTTGAACCAGCAAGATTCTGAGGGGAAAGAGAGGAAAAGTGAAGGATCAGGTGTCAATTTTTAAAAATGCTTGTGTGAATGCTCACACTATCTCCCCAGAAAAATCTAGTAGGGTACTTGTTTTCTACTAAAAACATTCCCATGGAATTATAATTGCAAGAAAAATACTTTTCCAGGGTGGGGGCTAGAGAGCAGATGACAGAGCAACATAAAGAGAATTCTTTGGAAGACAATCAGAGCATAGTTGGCAACCACAGCCCCAAGAGGAAGTTTCTGTTACAATTACTCAGAATTAATGACCACCAGTTAAGAATTGTCAGATGCCCTTAGAATATGTGGCGAAACAATCTATAAGATGCATTTCTCCCTTGCTGAAATCTTTCTCAACACTGATTAATGTTTATATGCACACTAGAGGCCTGGTGCACAATCGGGCCAGGGAAGGACCGTGGGAGGGCTCCAGGGCGTGTCTGGCCCGTCTCGCCCAGTCCCGATTAGCCAGACCCCAGCAGCAAACTAACTTACTGGTCAGTTCATGTCATAGCGACTGGTCGAACAGTCGGACACTTAGCATATTAGGCTTTTATTATATATAGGATAGGATAGGATTACTTTACTGGCAGTTTCTACAGCCTTAATTCCTAACTGTTAAATTGCATCCCAACAAGCTAATTTAGCCAGATTATTCTTTCCAATGAGTGAATAATAAAGTTGTACTTCACATTCCAAGTGAGCATCTGTTTTCTGAACTATTTACCTGCAACTGGGAGAAATTTATGAAATACTGTCTTGATAAATTATTCATCTGACATGTGGGGTCAAGAAAGTGCTCCTGTTTGACTATAACCAAAATACATTGATATTTCAAAATAAGCTGCCAAAATAAATAAAATGCAGTATATTGTAGAGTAAAAGACACAAAAAATTTAGTTACTGAGCTATGAAATATTCAGGATAATAAGTAAATTTCTTGCCTGCTAAGGTCTTGGGGTCCAGATAATGTTAACTAATGAAGCAGGCACCATCTTTTCAGCATGAGGTCCCTGTGGTCAGCCTTGAAACACTGAACACAGCCACTGCATTGTACTTTGAAATTTTTAATATTGGCTATATGTATTTTTTATTTCATCTGTACTGGGGCTATCATTAAAAAGGGAAAAAGATTGCTGGCCATTCAATAAAGCTACTGGGAAGATTGTATACAGGAACTGAACTCATTTACAGATATGGCTGCCTGTGCGACAGCCCAGTTCTTCATTGGAGATGCAGGTCACGTTTGAAGTAGCATCACAGCTGAGAATACGACCATTGCATTAAGAGTGCCTGGACTGCTGGTGTGAATATTCAGAGCCACACTTAAGGGATTATTTGTTAATGCAACCTGAACATAGACCATCCATGTCTCTGTGATAATTTATGGCTGCAATTAAGTGGTTACCATGGCAAACCACTTTCCACATTTTATTTGCATATCAATTGCTATATCTGAATTTTAAGAGAGTTGCAGTTTTCTTCTAGATCTTCCAACTGATTCTTTAAAAATAGATCCCAATCCCTAGATTTACTTAAATTAATGCCTGCTTGGTCCACTTGCTTTCAAATAGTAGCTTTTTTATCTAATGACACAGTTGAGTTCTTTGTTCTCTTTATGTATAAAAAAAAGTCCTGGGTGTGGAAACTCAAATAATTGTAGACCTGAGTCTACAGGTCTTTGCACTTAGTAGGCATCCCATAGAAACTCCTTGAGTTGAAATTTAATTCTGGCTGCCTTATAGCAGTTCTGCATTCTTTAGTTTTTACCAAGGGATTACTAAAGGTTGATGAATTAGTAAATGTGCCATAATCAGTGCATTCTTACACTGATTTAGACATAGAACTATTAGAACTGATTTCTGGTGGAGGTGTTATCTGTCTGGAGAGCCAGAAATCAAGAGCCTCGTTTTGACGATCAGAAGCTCCCAGTACCTCTTTCTCAGAAGGAAAACCAGGGGATGCTCCCTATACTTTCCCCACGCATTTTCTTTGAGGATATTTTGAAGTTGGGCAACCAAGGTCGCACTACCTTCTCAGAGAAAGCCAGGTGGACTTTTCAGGTGTAAATTTATGGGGCAAAGTCCCTGTGAAAGTCAGGAATCTCTTCCCCTTTCTGTCTGCTTTTTAAGTCCCTCTTCTTATCTCTCTCCCTTCCATAGTGCCTGCCTGATCTGATCTTTTTGGCCTGGGAGTGAATGGGTAGGGCATGGGATAAATCAGAAAGGTTGCTGGGACCGGGTTGAGATGTGGTTTACCCTGTGAAAAATGACAATTAGAATATCAAGTCCTGGATAATGACCAGGTATATTTTATATGCCTATATCCATACTTCCATATACATTCTGTTTCATGGCAAAGCAGTTCCACAAGTAGCAAAGGCAAAACTCTCCACTCTTCTCTCTGATTCTTACCCTTTTATTCCTCCCCCTTTCCCCTCTTCATAATGTCCTCCTTCACCCTCAATTATTGCTCACTTGCAATAAAAAAGCTGAGTCTGCACACACCAAGTCCTGAGCAGCCACAGCCAGGAGCAGTTCCCATGAGCACACCCTCTACCCCAGCCCAGTAGAGGCAGAGTTCAGCCCCCAGCAATCTATCTGGTCAGACTGGTGGAGCAGCTTGTGAAGCAATCCTGCTGGACTGAGCCGGCTGTAGACAGATAGAGGGCTACAGGGAGTAGAGAGCGTGAGAGCCAACCAGACACAAAGATGCAAATAGGCCTAGGAGGGGAGACGGAAGACAACAGGCAGCCAGGCCGGCATCTCATGAGCTAGTTCAACCCTCATGGCAACCCCAGTGGAATAGGCCAAGCCAGCACAAGTGAGCCAAATCCTGAGCTCATTTTAATGGCTTCTGTCCCAAACCTGAGTCACTGGGGATTCCACAGATTTCAAGACAGCCCTTCATGCATTTCCAAAAACAAACTGCTTGATGCTGTCATGGAAAACCTGGATCTTTGCATTCTATGGTTTCACTATGGATTACATCCAGGTCACAACCTAAGGAAGACAGCTGGCAAATCACCCTGCTGGGCGATTACCCAGCTTTTGTAATGAATCCCAGAGGGCTATGAGCCGATGTGTGTTTCTGGCTCTGCCAAGTCCTGGACAAGTCCTCACCAATAAAGACCAATCAGTCTGAGATTTATTCTGCGAGGGAAGCCTGAGAAGCCACCTGCAATCAAGACTCAGCTGCTAGAACCTGCTCCAGAAAGGAAAGGAATGGAGAATGTATATGTCAAGGGGAAGAGGAGTGAAAGAGGTTCTTTGCTTCCCCTCTCAATTCAACTGCTATCTTCTGCTTTTTTAAAAAAAATGCTCTGAGGATACCTTAGTCACACCAAAGTCAGAGGACTGCTCTGTACTCTTCAGCCTTAACTCAGGCAGGCTTTTAAGGGGCCAGAGAATAGCACTATACAGTGGTTGATTTCAACAGAGCAAGGTCAATTATAAAGGCTTTTATAAAAGACACCCCTATTCCTTAGAATGCAGCAATTCTAGGAAACATAAAAAATGTACTAAAACCTGCCAAGAAAACAGAAATACTTGTAAGTTTTATCATATATACCTACCACTTATTATCTATTATGTGCCAAGACCTGTATTTAAGCCTTTCTCATATATTATCTAATTTAATTCTCAAAACATTATACCCATTTTACAGGTGAGAAAACTGAGGCTTAGAGAAGTGAGGTCAATTGGGCAACACGTCACAGCCACGTTAAGGTGAGATCAGGACTGATCCAGGACCATATGAGGCTTGAATTTTTAATTGCTATTAAGAGTGAGTATGGAACACCAAGGGCATTTATGCACAAATACTTAGGAAATGTCAGCTGGGTGTCCACATAATGGGCCTTGAAAGTAAATCCTGCTATCTGGGTTAACAGTGAAGAGTTGTATTTTATTATTATTTTATAAGTAACCCAGATCTTGAGATTTCCACTGAAGTAGCAGGTTCTTTCACACCAGCTTCTAAAGTAAAAATATCAAGATTATTTATGTTATGTTTTTTATAGACAACAAAGGCTATAACACCTGTGGCCTATTCTTTAAAATTAGGTAGAATAAAGGAATATTCTTACAAATCTTGTAATTGCTCAACCAATTGCATTTTACAAAATTGCCATTTTTGCCAAAATGAAAGGTGCAAGAATAAATAGTCTGAATGTATTTCCAAAGAGTTATGCTGGCAACAGCCTCCTTTCTCACCATTTGTTTAGGTGTCAAATAGATCCAGGCAGGGCTGAGAGAAAGCGGGCAAGAGGAGAGAAAAGACTGATGCTCACAGCTGCAGCAAGTCCTTGGCTGAGGCTGACCACATGCTGTTACAGATTGGCCAAGAGGAGAGAAAGCAAGTCAGCTGCTTCGACACACTTTCTCAGCCATAGATCCAAGGACCATGGCTGTCATTTATGTTGGCTTGAACTGCCTGGTGTAGACCTCCCTGAGGGAGAAAGAGCCCACTGAGCATCCCTTACAGATGCCTCTCACCCAACCCCAACACGAGGGAGTTGGCGGACTAGTCCTTCTTTCCTGTGACGACTTCTCAGAGAGATGCTCAACTGGAAGGAGAAAAGCAACAGCTTTCCCTGTATTTCAGTGCTTAGTCTTAGATCAGTGGGCCCTAGAGAGATAGTCTGATTATACAGGAATTTCTGCCTCCTGCCAATTTAAAATTTTTAGTAATTTCAGACTTAAGATCCTGTGTGTATGCAGGGGGAACATAAGTGATGGGGGTTGGGAGAAGTTAAGATTTCTTTTAGGAAATCTAAACTTTGCAGGAGACCTGTGACCAACAGACTTGCACGGGGGATATGCTGCTACTTTCTTCTCTTCAACCCTTCTTCCCAGAGGCCTGATACAGTCAGAGAGAGAAAGAGGGAGATTGATAGAGAAGTCAGAAATAGCTCATTGGAGTGTGTGAATAATACCGAAGATATGTGCTAATCTTTGTGCCAAAATGAACGTTCTTGCCATTTATGTGAAACAGCCAACAAGAGCACCAAAAAAATTGTTGGACTAGTCTACTTTCTTAGAGACTGAATTCAATGGACTAAACACTCTATTAAAAACTGCATGCAAATAGTCTTTAAGACTGAAGGGTATCTAAAGTTGTTTCTGCATGACTGTAAAAACAGGTGTGGTGGTATAGCCCAAGAAGTCCCAGCCCTTACTCTAAATGGCCACTAATGTGCTAGGAGATACTGTTTCTCAGGATGAAAAGCATTCCTAGGGATGACAAACCCATTTCACCTGCATACCAGCATATTGATAAAGCTCACTGTAAATGCATGGAAAATTGCCTCTCTGGTCAACCAGAACTCTTCAATAGGACTAATAAATTGTGTGCTGGCTTCCTGTCATCTGCATGTTCACACTGACTTCCTAAAAGCTTTCGGTAATACTTCTCAACAAAAGTTTGAAGATATACACATGAATATAAACACAAATCCTTGAGGCCCTGTGTGTCTGAAGGGAATAAAGATAAACTTCAAATTTCAGAAGTGAATAAAAAAGAGGACAAAGTTTCTTCTTCCTCTAACCAAAGCTGAAATCAAAAGTCTAAGATAAAAAAAAAAATCTAAGGTAAAGTCATATTTTCCAAACTCCCTATTTTTCAGAAGAGGAATGCCAGGATATAGAGAGGTGGTACATTTATCTCTGGGCCCATTACCCCCTACACACACATACTCCCCCCTTAAGATTTGAAAAAGGAAAACATTTATCTTATCAGCTGTTTTTTGGGGGGGAAAAAACCGTGTTTGATCTGTTTACTTGGAAGCCAGCCTGCTGAGCTCAAGAGTTTGCTATCAGGCAGACCAGAGTGAATTCATTTAGGCTGTTTCTTTCCAGGCCTGGACACCAGGCCCAGCGCTTATCCTCACTGTCAAGGAGTTCTGTGCACACACTTTAGAATTTGCTGAGGGATTGTCATTGTGCCCTTCAGTTAGGGTTGTAGGTGGATTGCTGTTTCTCCTGTTAGAGTTCAGAACAATAAGCAGCTTGGTTATGATTGTTGAAATGTTCATTTCTTTTCTGAAAAAGCAAGAGTCTATCCCTCTGCTTCCTTGAGGATGTCTTCACTCTGCCTCGCATGTGCGCGTATTTCTGCCATCTAGACCAAGTCCCTTGAGCCCAAACTGACTCCCTCCCTCTTGGCTCAGGATCCACCTTTCAAAGCCACGTGGCAAAGTCCATGAAAGAACTGTTGGCCTTGGAAGTTTCTTGCAGTTCACAGCCTCCCCTCTCAATCACTGTAAGGAGCTCATACTTTTCTCTCCACCAATTTCTAACCAGCTCATCAGTGAAAAATCCCCAGAAAGTGGAAGTTAGTTTATATTTTCTGATCTGCACGGAACATTCTCCAGGCTCCAGGAGACAGACAATTTAAACCAGCACATGAAACTCAGAGCAGCTAGCTGATACCAACTCCTTTCCAGCTTGCTGCTTCCCCTACCAAAGCTGAAATCATGGGGTTGGGCTGACTGGTGGCAACCAGCTCCCAGCTCCCCTCCCTGAATGGACACCCCACACTCACATTCCTCCTCAGCATAGAGTGCTTGCTGCAGGTGGGACCTAACTCCTCAGTGGATGCACTATGTAGAAAACATGCTTTTAATTTAATGGGAAAAGCAGAGTCGTAGTAGTTTCTTCAACAAAATCCAACAACTTAGAACCCGAGGAAACAGCAATGAACAGGAACATGAGAGCAGAGAACAGACACTTCCTCCAAAGAGGGGAGTAAAACGGGGAGAGGGGAGTGACCAAGGCAGCGCGCCCACGGTGCTGAGGGCAGACTTTTGCAAAATCAACCTGACCAGACAAAAGAGGGTCTTCAAAACGCGCAGTGAGTAAGCAAGTGTGTGCGCCCTGCACAGAGCCCCTCCCGCTCCCAGGCCCCGTCCCTCCTCGCACGCTTACCTGCAATTCCTTGCAACAGCCCACAAACGTTGAAAATACTTTTCTTCATGATGCTCTGCACACACATGGTGAAGACAGACACCAGGGCCACCATGCAGAGGATGAAGATGCCCGCGGCTAAGAAGATGGCAGTGGCCTGCCAGAAGCCGCTGGCGATCTCCCCGAAGTTCTCAGCGTAGGGTCCGCACAGCGTCTCTCGCGGGACGTGCTGCACCCCGGGGTTGCGGATGCAGCGGGCGTAGATGCCCAGGGTCGGGTGGTGGGGCTCCGAGAGGCCGCCCCGCTCCTCGGGATCCGTGCCGCCGCGGGTCTTGGCTTTCCCAATCAGCCAGTCTGCGCTCATGAAGGCGATGAGCTCTGCAAACGCCACCACAATACTCAGGAGGGTCCAGAGCATCGAGCGACAGGTGACAATGACATGACACATATTGCTGTTCAAGGCGGAAAGAGGCCAGAGTCCACGGAGTTAATAATAAAAAGCCGGTGGAGAAGGAGGCTCGGGCGGCCTCAGCAGGAAGTCGCTGCTGGGGGGACTCACTCCCACAGCCCAGGGTTCCTTTCTCCGGGATCCTGGCGCCGGTCCTGGGCTGTCATGCTGCCATGTCCGGGCTCAGAGCTCAGCAGCCTCACCTAAGGAAGAAGAGTAGGAGGCGGTCAGCAGCGCCAGGCCCCGCCCCTGCAGCGGCAAACTTGCCGGTCCCCAAACCCCAGTGTGAGCGCTGGCTGCACCGCCCTACTCCCTGCGCTGCTGACCTTCCCGCAGTCTTCCACTCCCACCCCCCACCCTCCACAGGCACCACCCAGGTCCCTACAGAACCTGTGGAGCGGTCCGGTCCCTAGCCAGCACGCGGCCCTTCTCCTGAGTTTGTGGTCTTTGTTTCCTTCCCAAACTCTCCGAACTGACTGGTGGTTACCCTTATCTCCAGGCAGCATGACAAAGGCAAGAGGCCCTGCCAGCCCCTCCACCCGCCCCAGGGGCGCCCGCTCCATCATCTTTTTAGAAAAAGTCAAACAGCACAGGGATCCAGACAGATCTAGACATACTGGCAGTGAACCATCAACAGGCGGGCTTGCGCTTTTAAAAGTTCACAGGTCTCTTTGCCTGCTGTCTTGGTACTAGAGCAGCTAAGTTTGAAAAACTTGCACCAAAAGTTTTTGCTTAACAGCAGAGAGCAGCAACACCTAATTTTATTGCCTGGGAATCAAATTACCAACAGAGACATAAGAGTATTTGCTTCATGGGTAAAAGAGAATAAAAGGAAACAATGCCATAAAAAAATAACACATTGCTACACAAACTGCTTTTTCACCCATTTCTCAGAGGGTCATTTTTAGATAAAATAAACTACACTAATTAAAATGCAAGAAAAAAAGAAACTCAAGAGTTCGTGACTTAGTCACTTGGAGAAATTATTTAAAAATGACTATTGACTAAGTGTCTTTCCCACTGAGTGGATTTGTTGACAACAGAAACTTGCCTGTAAAGAATGAACTGTCCCGATTCATCACATGGGCCTCTGCCTGAGCGTCCACTCACCCCAGGTCTGGAACTCAGCATGCCCATTGTTTCTGATCTCACAAGGACTCATTCTCTTCCCAAGGACAAATGGCTTCATTACCAGAGGGCTTTGCTCTAACAGCTCAGCCCCCCCTTCAGAGGAGCCTGAACCCTGACAGGGGCCACAGTGCTCATTGGCAGCCCCGTTTTCTGCCCCTTCTCCAAGGTCAGGAAGCACTGCACAGCTCACATCTGACATCTGGGTGCATGGCTCTGTTCTGAACGATTAGATCTTATTAACCCAGGTCATGTCAACTGCATAAGAACTACAAAGCCCCATGGCATGTTGGCAGCTGGTAGGGCAGGGAGTGAGGGAAGATGGAGGAAGTGGGGAAATAGGACAGCCCAGTGCCAAAGTTTCTGCATCATGCCGGCTGACGTCTGGTGAGGAGTGACTACTTATCTCACAAAGCACAAACGCATTTGAAAGTTCTCACCCATTGTAGTTTTGCAACGTACTATTTTAGGAAATTAGCGCAATACTAGAAACATAGGCACTTAATAATTGTAAGTGTGTGTGTGATGAGGCTGTTCTGGGTCGTGTGTTCAACTGCAAGAGTTTCAGAATCCACCAGGTCTGGGTTCCCAACCCAGTAGCACCACTGACTGATCATGCTCTGCTTCCTCATCTGCCAGATGGGGACAGTAGAGTACCCTGCCTCACGAACTTGTGAGGAATAAACAAGAACCTGTTCAAGCACCTTGCTCAGTGCATGGCATAGTAAGTGCTCAATAAATACCAACTCCTTTCCCTCAGGAGCTTTTCCCCTAACGTGGATGACACTGGTCAGACAACAATTTAACTGAAGGAGCTGCTCAGTAGATAACAGAAACTTGGCCATTGCACACAGAGAACGATTAAGCACAGGCTATTTAGAGATGAATGAGGTCACTGTGTCTAAGCTTCCCTGGTGGGCTTTCAGGGTGGGTACTGGTCTGACTTTCTGTTTCCCCACTGCCTACTCCAGCTGCGAAATTCCACTGTGGAAAATCAATTAGCACCAGGCCAGAAGTATAACCTACTCCTACTCACTCATTCTCGAGTCCCCATCCCCAAATATCACCAAATAGAAATGCCTTTGAAGAAAACTTAACAATACAACAGAGCCTTGGAGACTGTTCATAATGAAGTGGCCATTCTGGATGAGAACAAGAAAACAGGTCCACGACTCCCCAGAGTCCCCTCCACCCTCATGAACACTTGGAGCCAACAGGTGGGAGCCCAGCCTGTTAGGAGAAAATGAGGCTTCTACAAAGTCTTCCAATTTGATTAGAAAACCAATTTACTGTTATGCCAGCCGATCTCCATCCCTGCCCCTCTTCTGTTTAATGGCAATTGCTCAGTGAATATAAACCTCTACATATTTGTCCTCTGGCAGAACCTTGGGACTCTGCTACTTCTTAGGTGATGCGGATGCTAATTAATATGCCAAGTGTCCACTGTCTTGGCCAGCGAGCTCTGCTTAAAGTCAGGAATACAATTAGTTTGCGACTTCTGAAGAGAAAGGATGTGAAACTTCAGAAGGGAAGATGGCACTCACGAGCTTAGCAAAATGGTCCATGCCAAACCCAAGGCAGGGTTATTTAGGGACCCGTGTGCTTAGTGTAGGCTAGATAGTTCCCTGCCCTTTTGCGCTAAAACAATCCACTGCACCAAATTCTTATATCCACGCCTGAGTGGCTGGGGTTGACGCCTTTATTCTTCTTTGTTTGTTCTCCCCAGCTAGTTTGCTAATGACTGCTATGACAGAAATAGCCAGGATAGCAAGGCTGACAAAAACGGAGCATCCAAGAAAAGTCCTCAGGTTGCAGGAACAAGGGAAAACCTGGAAACAACACAGCAAGGGCTCCAGAGTGGTCTGTGTTCTGGAACGTGTCCCACTCTGGCTGTGCCCCACGTGCAGGGATGCCTGCTGACACAGCATCCGCATCAAAGGGGAAGTAGATCCTTGTTAACCACAGGGATTCGGGCACAGAAAGTCTGAGCATGCAATCCACTGCTGCTCAGTGCACTTCCTGCTTCTTCAAAACTCACTTAGTAAAACCAGGCCCTCACTGACATTCCCTATAAAAGTCTTCTATCCATGGGCTACCCAATCCATTCCCCTCCAGGGCACTTGACTTTACTATCACATCACTGATGGTTAAGGGTAATTGGACGCCCTCTGACGTTCAGAAAATGATGCTATGCTTGTCATAACGATCCGCTGAATAAAGCTTCTTGGCAAGTAATAGAGAAAAACACCAAACAAATGAGAATTCTGCAGAAACCTGGAGTAGTGGAGGAGTTGATAAATGGTTGGTCCGTGCGGTCGATTATACCTGTGTTCTCCTCAGAGCCCTGATAGTTACCGAGGGGGAAGGTGCTGTGCAGAGCCAGACCCGCTCTGTAATGCGCATCATGGGATCCTATCTCCAGCAGCTTCGCTGTCAGTGAGAAGGGAAGAAAGTGCGTGTGAGGAGAGCCCCCAGTGCCACCTGGCTAGGAGGCTCCCTAAAGAAACCAGGAGCCAGGCTCCCTTCCCCTGGAAAGGCAGAGGCAACCTGAATGCACTGCAATCAAAGCTGCACCGGAAACCACACTGTCCACATTG